TCTTAGTTACTAACGTACTAAGAACAACATCCTCTATTTAAACACAAAAACTGGGATAACAAAATTACATTGATTTTCGTATAATTGGTAGCATAAAATCCAAGATTATCTTTGAGATATGTTGCGTCAACACTCCAAGATATAATCCGAGATATGCTCTACGAGAATACTTTAAGATATACTCTGTTTTGAATCCGAGATTTGCTCAATCAATTTGTTGAGATTTCCTTAACTAGTCAAACTACCATTTCGGGTTGAAGTTGTTGCCATTGATACCCCTTCATTCTTCAACATCTCTCCACTATTGTAGCATGAATTGTGGGAGTTTTCAACCTTATCACTTCGATAGTTATGCTCAACCTTATCACTCCTTTGAGTCCCATAATTCACGCCGAGATGCTGGGTTTAACCAATAGTTTGGTAGTGCCTTTTGTTTGGGGCACCTATGAATATCCAATAAAAACAGAGATGGCATAATTGTAATATCTTCTTCTTCTTCTCCATTTCTTGTAATCTCATAATCTCACTCTTCCCATTCTTTCTTAGAACTAAAAGTGAGAGTTTTCAATTTGGGGAAGAAAATAAATTATAAAGATGTGCCATCACTTTCTATTACCAAAAATTCTTTACTCACTCTTTTTAAACTCCACATATGACTTATATCTAAAGATTCCAGGAACGGCAAATTTCCCAAGGGAGGCAAATGCTTACAGTTTATGCATGCATAGAGTCGTAAGTACCTGAGCTTAGCTGGTTAAGTTTTGAATAAGATGGTTTGGTAGTGCCTTCAATTTGTGGCAGAATTCAATTTCCAAGGAAACCAGAGATGGCATGATTGTAATATCATCATCTTCTTCTCCATTTCTTATAGTCTCATAATCCCACTCCTCCCATTCAGCCATATTCTGAAAAGTGAGAGTTTTCAATTCGAGGAAGAAAATAAATGATGAAGATGTGCCATCACTTTCTATTCCCAAAATTTCATTTCTCACTCTTCATTTCCCATATCAATAATGATTCCAAGGATGGCAATTTTCCCAAGGGAGGCAAATGCTGCCCATTTATGCATTGACAGAGTTGTAATTCCTTGAGCTTGGTTAAGGACATCATCCAAATGGGCAAAATAGTGTTGCCTCTGTAATCCCATATACGTAATTTCTCCAAATTTAAAGGTGGTTGTAAAATTTCAACAAGTGCTTCATCATCCTCATCCGTCCTTTCTTTCATCTTTTGTGAAATCCAGAGTCAAATCAAGGAAACATTCAAAAAAAAAAAATTACTTGAAAAGGTAAATTTCATACCTTAAGGTAGGGGTGTTTGGTTCCGGGTACCCTACACTTTTTGAAGGAACCGGAACCGACGGTTCCTTGAAATTTGGAACCAGAACCGGAACCGACGGTTCCGGTTCCTAGGTACCCAGAACCAGAACCTGTAACAACGGTTCCGGTTCCGGTTCTGGGTACCCTGTAAAATTACATGACCCCCCAAAAGTTTTTAAAATGGTAAAAAAAACCTTTAAAAACTTACAAATACCCCTCATCTGGCACTTGTTAACAAAAATAAAATTACAAATTATAAATTCAAAATTACAAACTCCATTACTTTGTAAAGGTAGATTCTCAAAAGTCAAACCAACTTACTTTAAATATTATGAAATATAAATATAAATGTATTCACATTACTTTTTCTACAAAAGTTTATATTAACTCCCCTAATCTTTAATTTTATTTTATATGAGTCTCGGTTCCTGGTTCCTGGTTCCTGGTTCCGGTTCTGGTTCCTAACTATAGGAACCGGAACCGGAACCGCACAGTAACGGTTCCAAAAATTTGGAACCGGAACCTACCCATTGATGACTGGTTCTGGGTAGGAACCGGAACCAAACCCAGAGTACCCACCGGTTCCGGTTCCAACCGGTTCTTTTGAACACCCCTACCTTAAGGCATCGGAATAATAACGCGGGGTTTACAAACATCCTCTATTTAAACACAAAAACTGGGATAACAAAATTACATTGATTTCCGTCTAACTGGTAGCATAAAATCCAAGACTATCTTTGAGATATGTTGTGTCAACACTCCAAGATATAATCCTAGATATGCTCTGCGAGAATACTCCAAGATATGCTCTGTTTTGAATTTGAGATTTGCTCAATCAATTTGTTGAGATTTCCTTAACTAGTCAAACCATTTTGGGTTGAAGTTCTTGCCATTGATACCCCTTCATCCTTCAACGTTTCTCCACTATTGTAGCATGAATTGTGGGAGTTTTCAACCTTATCACTTTGACAGTTATGCTCAACCTTATCACTCCTTTGAGTCCCACAATTCACGCCGAGATGCTGGGTTTAACCAATAGTTTGGTAGTGCCTTTTGTTTGGGGCACCTATGAATATCCAAGGAAACCAGAGATGGCATGATTATAATATCTTCTTCTTCTTCTTCTTCTCCATTTCTTGTAATCTCATAATCCCCCTCTTTCCATTCTTTCATAGAACTAAAAGTGAGAGTTTTCAATTTGGGAAAGAAAACAAATGATAAAGATGTGTCATCACTTTCTATTACCAAAAATTCTTTACTCACTCTTTTTAAACTCCACATATGACTTATATCTAAAGATTCTAGGAACGGCAATTTTCCCAAGGGAGGCAAATGCTACTAGTTTATGCATGCACAGAGTCGTAAGTCCCTGAGCTTCACTGGTTAAGTTCTGAATAAGGTGGTTTGGTAGTGCCTTCAATTTGTGGCAGAATTCAATTTCCAAGGAAACCAGAGATGGCATGATTGTAATATCATCATCTTCTTCTCCATTTCTNTTCAATTGCTGCAAAAACATTAGCAGCCTTGATCAACTGGTCATTGGACACTGTCCCCAACTTCTATCCTTGGCGGTGGAGGAAGAAGAAGAGCATCAGCAGCAATTGTTGCCTTGTAGACTTCAGTATCTGGAACTGAGAGATTGCAATTGCCTAGTGAAATTACCACAAGCATTGCTCAACATTGCTTCTCTCAGAAAGATTTATATCACGAAGTGCCCAAATCTTATTTCATTTCCAGAGGTTGGTCTCCCTTGGCAGTTAAGAGTAGTCGAAATTGTCGGATGCAAAAAACGGAGATCCTTACCAGAGGCATGGATGAACAACAACAACATATCTCTTGAAAGTTTATCTATTGGCTCATGTGATTCTTTATTATACATTTCAGAACCCATCTTCCTATGAATCTAAAGAGGTTGAAGATATCGTTTTGCATGAATTTACAGGCTCTAATAGATGGTGAAGAGAGCATCAAGAGTGGCAGCACAGTTCACTTCTTCAGTACTTGTACATTGGCGATTGTCCATCTCTTACTTCCTTGTGGTCGAAAAGTGAGTTACCTGTCACACTTCAGCATATTCAGGTTTGCAATTGCTCAAATCTTGCTTCCTCGTCATCAAAAGGAAATCTTCCTGAGGGTCTTAAATACCTTGACATTTCTTACTGCACAATGCTGGAGTCAATAGCAGAAAGATTGCAGAATAACACTTCTCTCGAAAGTATTGAGGTTTATAATTGTGAAAATCTTAAATTCTTGTCTGAAGATCTGCACAAACTCTGCCGTCTCTCGAGAATTTCCGTAAGTTATTTCCAAAGTCTTGTTTGCTTTCCAGGAGATGGGTGTCTTTCGGAAAAATTGACAGAAATCTGCATAACAGGCTGTGAAAACCTGGCAGCCCTGTCAAACTGCTTACACAATCTGACCTCCCTTCAACATTTGAAGATAAAAAGATGTCCAGGCATTGAATCCTTCCCTGAGAATGGCTTTCCCACCAACCTAAAATCACTTGAAATTGAAGATCTCAAGATATGCAAACCATTTTTCAACTGGGGATTGCACAGGCTCACTTCTCTTAGACAACTCTCCGTTAAAGGAGGATGTCCGGATATGGTGTCATTTCCTCAGGTTCCTGTCTCTCTATGCAGCCTGATGATTAAAAATTTTCCAAATTTGGAATGCGTATCCTTCATAGATCAGAGCCTCACTTCCTTCGAAAAACTGCTCCTCTCTGGTTGGTTGCCCAAAGCTCAAATCACCTTCCTCACTTCTGCAACTACATATCTTTGAATGTCCTCTGCTAGAAAAAACTTACAAAAAAGATTCAGGAAAGTATTGGCCAAAGATAGCTCATATACCTTATGTCTACATTTATGCTAGTAACCCCTTCTGGGTTTAATTTAGCTTTCCGAAAAGTGTTTGGTAAATTAATTAAAAAAACGATCTTCTGAGATCAAGACGTCGACAACCCTTCAAGGTAAATTCATTTCAAATTATATTAAACTGTGTTATATATTCTCTGAATTTGACAAACCTCCCCCCTGAATGTCTGTTATGGATGTGTAGTTTACAATGACAACATTTTGGAAAAACCTGTACTATACAATGCGTGATGGCCCGTATTAAGTGGTTTAAGTTGCAATTGCCAAGCCTTTCCTAAAGTTATATAAAGTGAAAGTTTTGCTTTCCGGAAAATGGAAGAGAAGGTCTTGACCCTATATTGATATCAAATGATTTGCAGGAACACAACAGAATAATTCATCATATACTACTTATAAATGCAGACATACTGCATAAAACAAAACCTTTTTACAGTTCAAAGTGTTATTTTCCTTTCAAAATCATTAATCTTCAGTAGGGTAACAACTAATTACAATAATGTTTATCAAAACATTGGATTTTAGAGGTCATTTCCAATCCCAGATGGCTCATGTTTCCAAATGACTATTCCTCCAAAAATTAACTCTGTCCAAGCAAACTTCCAAATTCTGAAATTCCAAAACCACCAAATGATTAATTGGTTTCCATGAAAAATGGTTAATATAATATATTTTAACAATGACTTTACCTTTATAAACAGATTAAGCTGAAGGGTTGCCGTCTTCTTATGAGATGAAGCAAAACACTTTTCAGAATTCTAGAACAAACCCAAAAGGGCTTTCTGGCCTATATGTATCCTTTGTGGAATTTTTTTTTCTAGCAGAAGTGTTTCAAAGATATGTAATTTGCAGAAGGGAGGAAGGCAGACCCTTTATCTGGAAAGGTTTCAATCTTTGGGCAGCCAGAGAGGATACGAACACCGATTTTGGAAAATTTTTAATCATCAGGCAGCTGAAAGAGGCAGGAACCTTTTGAAATGACACCATATCTGGATAACCTCCTGTATCATCAAACAGACCTTCCTACATAGAATCAATCCAAAATTTAGCTCTGTCCAAGTAAACACTGAATTCTGAAACACCAAAACCACCTAATGATTGGTTTCTATGAAAAGATAATATTCGTACCAAAATAGTTTGAAAGTGAATTTGCGTACCTTTATTGAAGGATTTGAAAGGGCCTTGTTGAGTTCGTGGGTCAAAAGATCACCTTCACAATTTTTTACCGAAAACTTGCAGCATCTGAAAATTGAAAAAACTGGGGACTTCTCACTGCTATCTTGATACAGGATATGTGGTTTATCATGGGCCAATAACGTCCTATATCCTTTTTGCACTTATGTTCTAACAGAGGACATTCAAAAATATACAGTGTCAAAAGTGAGAATCCAGAATTTGATTGGGTAAAGTTAAGTTTCAGAGGAAGTGTTTTCATGTTAGAGTTACATGTTCTATTACAGAACAATCAAAAGCAAATAGAACAGAATTCTGCGGAAACGGGAGAGAAATAAAAGAAGAAAGAAGGAAAACTGATAACTTTGCATTCATTTGAAAGCAAAGACATATCAACACAGAAAGGGTCATTCAAAAGATATGTAAAACCAGTAACATATAACTGTCTATCTCAATTGAACAACTGAAATTACATACATGAAAACTTAGATCTCTACAACTGAATAAGTTGCTTTATATCTTGTTAAGTTTAGGTCCCCATCTAGCATGCTTGTATTGGTTCGTTCAAATTCCTTTAACATTTCATGATTCCATGACCATTGGATACCAAAGTACCTTGTGACATGAAAAAGAATGTATTATTTATCGGACTACAAACGAAAGTGATGATGCTAATTCAAGAAGAAAATAGGAGATAGAATTATAGAGCCTACCAAGAAAATGTGAAAACCAGAAGATCCAGTACTTGTTTCATCAGGCAAAAGTTTCTTCTTGTCAACAAGTGCCTCAATGAAGTTTCTACCATTTAAATGATAAAAATTGGACCTTCATTTCTTTTTCCCTGAGTTCTCAGCACATATAGGAAGCCATTGAATTAGTAAATCAACTCTGCATATTAAAGTAAATAACAGAATCAGAAACACAAAGCTGTAACATGCTTTCCATTTAAACATCAAGAGAAAGAAATGAAGAAAGAATAAAGATTAGTGAGAAAGCATAACTAACCATTGGTTAAGTTTTTTCACCAATTCTCCTAACGCCATTCTACCTCTTTTTCGTAACCTGAAAATTTAATGAAGTTTATTTAGTATATATAACTGCCTTCAATAAGCTCAAACAGAAACAAATTTCTTGGTATATATAAAACTCTTGGTTAAGAAAAAGACTGCAAACTGGTTTCATGTTTCAACCTTGATTCTTGAGCAAATTCATGACATCTTAAACTTTGGTTGCCTGCATCAAAATTAAATTTTAGGAGAGAGAACATGGATTTTCAACGTCCCCACTAAGTAGATGTAGATNGTTTCAAAAGTGAGAATCCAGAATTTGATTGGGTAAAGTTAAGTTTCAGAGGAAGTGTTTTCATGTTAGAGTTACATGTTCTATTACAGAAAAAAGCAAATAGAACAGAATTCTGGGGAAACGAGAGAGAAATAAAAGAAGAAAGAAGGAAAACTGATAACTTTGCATCCATTTGAAAGCAAATACATATCAACACAGAAAGGGTCATTCAAAAGATATGTAAAACCAATAACATATAACTGTCTATCTCAATTGAACAACTGAAATTACATACATGAAAACTTAGATCTCCACAACTGAATAAGTTGCTTTATATCTTGTTAAGTTTAGGTCCCCATCTAGCATGCTTGTATTGGTTTGTTCGAATTCCTTCCATTAACATTTCATGATTCCATGACCATTGGATACTAAAGTACCTTGTGACATGAAAAAGAATGTGTTATTTATCGGACTACAAATGAAAGTCATGATGCTAATTTAAGAAGAAAATAGGAGATAGAATTATAGAGCCCACCAGGAAAATGTGAAAACCATAAGATTCAATACTTGTTTCATCAGGCAAAAGTTTCTTCTTGTTAAAAAGTGCCTCAATGAAGTTTATACCATTTAAATGATAAAAATTGGACCTTCATTTCTTTTCCCCTGAGTTCTCAGCACATATAGGAAGCCATTGAATTAGTAAATCAACTCTGCATATTAAAGTAAATAACGGAATCAGAAACACAATGCTGTGATAAGCTTTCCATTTAAACATCAAGAGAAAGAAATGAAGAAATAATAAAGATTAGTGAGAAAGCATAACTAACCATTGGTTAAGTTTTTCCACCAATTCTCCTAATGCCATTCTACCTCTTTTTCGTAGCCTGAAAATTTAATGAAGTTTATTTAGTATATATAACTGCCTTCAATAAGCTCAAACAGAATAAATTTCTTGGTATATATAACACTCTTGGTTAAGAAAAAGACTGCAAACTGGTTTCATGTTTCAACCTTGATTCTTGAGCAAATTCATGACATCTTAAACTTTGGTTGCCTGCATCAAAATTAAATTTTAGGAGAGAGAACATGGATTTTCAACGTCCCCACTAAGTAGATGTAGATAACAAAGAAGACAGGCCTTTCTCAATGAGTCATCAAATGATTTCATAAAGGGGATCCACCGTAATTTGAGAAGCTTCCTGACAAACAGTAAGAGAAAGCAAATGACAGATATATAAATCAGTTTTGCATAGAAATTAAAGAATTTAGAGAACCATTAATAATGTTGTGATGTGCTTTCGAATTTAAACATGAAGAAAAAACAGAGAAGTGGGAAAGCATAACCAACCAGTTGAGTCCTTTTGAGTAAATAAGCTCTCCTCTTCCATTTTTGTTCTAAGGTTGAAATTTGAAACTGTGATTGAAAAGAAATTGGCATGCCTTACTCAAAAGAAAATAATCGCATAAACATTATCATATGATTAATCTCATAGAAGATATTTCCAACTTCATTCTGCCAACTTCTGCCATATATTGATTATATTTCAACATTGATTCTTCATGAATTTCACGGCATTTTAAACTTGATTCAGTGCATCAAAACTGACATAAACAGATAAAGTTTTCCTAACAAGTAAATGGCATTTTAAATTTTCAATATGCTCAAGCTGGACTGAGACGATGAATAATTGATGAAACTATAAATTGAAAACTATACGGCTTTAGTTAAAATTAAAAAAGAAATTAAAACATTACCAGAAAATTGATGTATGAAAGGTGGGATTATGACCTCCAAGAAGCACAGATACATGAGATATTTCCTGGCCTGTCACGGCATGATACAAAGTTCTGTTGACCAAATTTGATGCCTGGTTTTAATAAGCTCAAACAGAAAAAATGTCTTAATATAGGTAACAATTTGATCAAGAAAAAGAATGCAACAAGAACAAATAAAACATTAATAATTGATGACAAACCTTGATTCTTCAGCAAATTCATGACATTTTAAACTTGCCTTTCCGCATCAAAATGAGCATATTAAAATCAAGTTTAATTAGATAGAGATAACATGGCTTTTCAATATCCCCGCTAAGTAGAGAGATAACCAAGGAAACAAACCTATCTCAATGAGTCATCAAAAGATTTCACAGAGGGAATCCACTGTCATTTAAGAAGGCTCCCTGACAAAAGAGCAATCCAACAGTTCTATATAAATATTAAAGAATTTACAGTACCATTAATAATGTTGTGATGTACTTTCTAAGTTTCTAGTTTAAACATGAAGAAAAGGTAGATATTGGGAAATGTGATTGAATGGAGATTTGCATGCATTAATAAAAAGGAAAAGATCATGAGGTTAATATTATCAGATGATGAAAAGTATGAATGACAGTGATAATGCTAATTCAAGAATCATGTAGGAGGTAAAAATATAGATTTGATGCTAGCTCACCGAGAAAATGTGAAAACCAAAACATTCAGCACTTGTTTCATCAAGCAAAAGCTTCTTCTTGTTACAAATGCTGTTGTTGACAATTAAAAATGGACCTTTACTGCTTTGCCCTTGAGTATTTCCTCCACAGATGAGAGACAGAAACCGTAAATTCTCAGCATATATAGGAAGCCATTGAAACTGTAAATCACTTCTGCATATCAGAGCCAATAACAGAATCAGAAACACAAAACAGTGATATGCTTTCCATTTAAACATGGAGAACTGAAGAAAGAGTAAAGATTAGTGAGAATGCATAACAAACCATTAGTGGAGTTCTTCCAAATACCCTTCCACAGCCATTCTTCTTCTCTTCCATAACCGAAAATTTGATGAAATTGGAAACTAAAAATAGAAAATTGCATGCCTTAGAATGAAGAAAATTGATGTATGAAAAGTGGGGTTCATTCAATCAGAAATTTGATGGAACAAATAGATTGATTTAAAGAAAAAGAAAAAATTACCTCTCATTTTCCCCTTCAACGGTAGCGTAGCAGAGGGCAACGAGAAATATCTTTTTTCAGTGTTGTATTCTGATCAAGGTGGTTTGGTAGTGCCTTCAGTTTGGAGCAGCTATGAATTGACAAGGAAATCAAAGATGGCATGATCGTAATATCACCTTCTTCTTCTCCATTTCTTGTAGTCTCATAATCCCACTCCTCCCATTCATCCATATTCTGAAAAGTGAGAGTTTTTAATTTGGGGAAGAAAGTAAAAGATGACGATGTGCCATCACTTTCTATTCCCAAAAATTCATTACTCACTCTTTTTACACTCTTCATCGCCCATATCGATAACGATTCAAGGGATGGCAATTTTCCCAAGGAAGGCAAATGCGTGCAATTTACGCAGTTACGGAATGTTAAGTGACTGAGGTTAGTTAAGGACATCATCCAGTTGGGCAAAATAGTGTTGCCTCTGTATTTATCTAGCCGTAATTTCTCCAAATTTAAAGATGGTTGTAGGATTTCAAGAAGTGCTTCATCATCCTCATTCCTCCTCTCTCCTTCATCTTTTCTAAAATCTAAAGTCAAATGAAGGAGATTTTTCTGATTCTTAATTTTTGATCTTTTAGCCTCATTCACATCTGATATATTTCCCAACCCTCTTATATACAACTCTTCAAAGAGGTCAAGGTATTTCAAACCTTCAAGGCTGCATGCTTTGTCACCATTACCACCACCACCACTTAACACGAATTCCCTTAAGATTCGGAGATTAGTCAATCTTTGAATTCCTATAGGGATGTTTCTTAATGATGTAGTCCCATAATTTTCTAGATGCCTTAGTTTTATTAATTTTCCAATCCCTTGAGGTAATTCTTCCAGTTCTCTGCATTGATTAATGTCCAAAATTTGCAGATTATATAATCCGCATAATGCTTCAGGAAGTTTTCTGATCCGTAAAAAACTCAAATTAAGATACCTCAAATGTATCAATTTTCTAACCTCTTTAGGGATGTCTTCAATCACATGTTCATGCCGCCACGATGGACCTATGGATAATGCCTTTAAAGACGTCAATTCATCAAATAATTTTGGTAAAATATTAGGAGTCAATTGAACTTGGGAATCTTCAAAATTATATAAGAAACTGCGCATCCTTCTAAGACTAAAAACAGAATTAGGAAATGAATCCTCTTCATTAATTGTAACTATCAAGTGACAAACTTGCTCATGATAAGAAGAGTTTATGATTGGTTCATTAAGACCATTAACTTCTTTGTGGAGACATTCATTCTTACACAAGAATTGAGCAAAATCATGTACTAAATAATGCATCTTACATTTAAAGATATTATTCTTATCGTCTTTTTTGAACTCCTGGAAGAATGAGCGTGATGCTAAGTAGTCAAAATAGTTTTGACCAATTATCTCCATTACATCATTTCCTTCTCCTTTAAGATATCCTTGAGCCATCCATAATTGAATCAAATATTTTCTTCTTATGTTGTAGTCCTTTGGAAAGATGGCACAATATATGAAACATCGTTTTATCATAGAAGGCAAATCATTATAACTCAATAATAATGGCTGAAAAATATCTTTTTCAAACTCTTCAAGTTTCCATAATTCACTCTCTAAGATACTTTGCCACTCTTCCCTGTGTTTCTTAAAGCGCAAGAGACTCCCGATAGTCTTCACAGCAAGAGGCAAACCTTTGCACTTACTTAAAATTTGTCTACCAATCTCTTCAAATTTTTGACACTCCACTTGAGGCATACCAAAAAATGCTAATCGCCTAAACAACAACCAACATTCTTCATCAGGCAACTCCTTAACATTGATAATATCAATTGATCCCATCATACGTGCAACCGACTCTTTACGTGTGGTAATCAAAATTTTACTTCCATGGAGACCATTCTTCAAGCAATGATACAATGGTTCCAATTTTTTGTAATCTTCATTCCACACATCATCTAACACCAAAAAGAATTTCTTTCCCACAATAGATCTATTAATATGTCGAAGAAGTGAATCTAATTCTGCTAAATTTGAAGGAGAATCCTCTAAAGCCTCAATGATTGCTGTGGCAATTCTATACTCATCAAAATGTTCTGATACACATACCCACATTCTTTTGTCAAAACTATTTATTACTTTATCATCATTATAAGCAAATTGAGCAAGAATTGTTTTTCCAATGCCTCCCATCCCTACAATAGAGATGATAGGAAGTTGTTGTTCACTATTCTCACACAGCTTAGGAACTAAAATACTCTTTTCCTCAACTCGACCACATATCTCAAACACATCAACAAACGAGGTACTTTGTACTCGTTCAGACTTTTCAACACTTCTAATCCTGTTAAAAGTATACATATCTTTTTGTTTCGCAATGCCGTCTAGATTTTCAGTTACATCTTTTATCTTCATTGCAATGTCACGTCGTAAACTAACTTGTTTGAATGAAAAGCAAGAGGAGGGAAAGAAGAAACACACCTTCTTCTTAGGAACACCAGCATCTTCAGCTCCCTCAATTTGCTATTTCAACATGATGTAGTTCCACTCATCCAACACATCTTCAATGTCGTAGGATGCGTGTTTTAGCCGATCTAACCAAAGACTTACAGCTTTCTCCTTCACTTGCCTTTCCTCTGCATCAACAAGCACAGCTTCAATATCTTCAAGATTGCTCCTAAGCTTTTTGACTTCTTTTTCGACACCAACAACTAGCTTCACCTCCTGTTGTATCCCTTCAGCAATGATTGAAGTCAGTTGCTCCAAGACAGCGGAAACAATTGCTTCAGCCATGATCAGAGATGGAAACTGTTTGAATGAGAAAAGAACTGGAGAAAATGTTGAGTTATTAGAGAGGTGCTTGTAGCTGTGAAAATGAAAATGTTGATCCTTTGAATTCTTTAAGACGACTTTTCACAGTGAGAAAATTGGACGGAGGAGTCCCCACCCACATTGGATAGAGAGCTGTAATTCAAAGAAGAATCTTTTATTAGTAAAATAATGCACAACTTTATTAGTTAAAATAATGCAACAATTAAAATACTACATAAAACTAGAAGAAGCGTAGAAACCAACGAAAGTTTCATGGTAGCAAGGACCCGAGCATCTTTCATTTATACCAATAATTCAATTAAAATATGCAGACTTTAATGTCGATATATACCAAATCCGTTTAAGATAATAGAGTCAGTAATGGCGTGCCTGGTTGGCCAGCACCTTAAATCATCTTTTGTAATAGTCAAGCATGGGATCTCTTTCGCTGTGAAATGCATGTAAGGGGTTTGTTGGTTATGATGATCTGCACAAACCCTGCCATCTCTCGAAGATTAATACATTTTTCTTTTCCTTTTAAGAAAAAATGTAACTTATACAGGTGATCTGATGAAGAAATTAGCCACCATGAAAGTGGGCTATGGGCCAAGGGGCCCATGGCTCACGGTCCTGATGCAATTGTAACCCGCCCAGAAACAATTTTGTAAGGCTCTGTTATGTTTTGGGCCGTGGTTCCACGTTAAGGCTAGTTTTGTCATTTACTTAGAACTTTCGAAAGTTATATAAAGTGAAAGTTTCGCTTTCTGGAAAATGGAAGATAAGGTCTTGATCCCATATTGATATCAAATGATTTTCAGGAACACAACAGAATAATTCATCATATACTTACTGCATAAAACAAAACCTTGTTACAGTTTAAAGTGTTGTTTTCTGTTATGCCTGAAAAGTTATGGCTAACATGGACTCGTCAGCAAAAACCAATCAGGATTCAGGAAGGTTTTATGTCATCCAGGCGCTGTCATATCGCGTAATGACGGAAGAGGTATGGTTCTTGTTAGTACAACAGGTGAGTGCAAGTGAGTACCGAGCTTACGAATGATTAGAAATTATCCACCTGCCCGTGCCTTACGCAATTTGAGGATATTTCTCAGGCAGGTAACCAATGAGACGCAAAGAATGATACGCACGATATCTACCCACTTGCAGACTTATAATCATCATCTTGAACTCTCCCACTACAAATAAAGGACACCACTCTCATTTACAGGATTGACTAATCTTTGTCTGAAACAACTTATACTCTCCTTTCTCTCTCTTTGTATTCTCTCTAGATTATAATTCAGCTCGCCTCACACGACCTGATTTCACCCTTTTATTAATACAATAGCAGTAGACGTATGATTCGCTTTTGAGCATCCGAATCACTTTAAATATCGCTTCTCATTCATTGTTTCATTTCATTAACACTTTGCACGTGTGATTTTTAAGTCCGCTTAGCACTTTGCACGTGTGAGTCGTTAGTATCAAAATCAAGCATCAACATTTTCCTTCCAAAATCATTAATTTTCAGTAAGGTGACGAACTAATTACAAAAATGTTTATCAAAACATCAGCTAACATTGGATTTTAGAGGTCATTTCCAATCCCAGATGGCTCATGTTTCAGATGACTATTTCTTGATCTAGAAGCTAAGCTGTGAACGATTCCTCCAAAAATTAACTCTGTCCAAGCAAACTTCCAAATTCTGAAACAGCAAAACCACCAAATGATTAATTGTTTTCTGTGAAAAATGGTTAACAATATAATATATTTTGACTATGACTTCATCTACCTTTATAAACAGATTAAGCTGAAGGGTTGCTGTCTTCTTGATGAGATGAAGCAAACACTTTTCAGAATTCTAGAATAAACCCTAAAAGGGCTTTCTGGCCTATATGTAATGTATACATAAGGTATATGGCTGTATCTTTAGACTTTAGCCAATATTTCATGTATCCTTTTTGAAAGAATTGAATGAGCTTGTTCTGCATTATTTGATGGAGATGGAGTCTTTCTTTGTACGTGAAGCTCTATGATGAAGACGATAAATTGAAGGTATTTTTCTCTTTTCTTTTCATCTTTTGCATCTCTTAACATAGTTTAATCCCCTGGCCAGTCTTATTTTAAAATTTTCAGGAAAGAAAATTCGAATTCTGACAAAAAACCAACTTATATAATAGGAAAATGATAGAGTTACTGAAAAGTGTACACCGAAATTGTGCACCGAATGACGTGACAAAATCTTGACCGTTGATTAATATTAACTTATAATGAATAAACGGTCAGGATTTTATCACGTTATTCGGTGCACAAATTCAGTGCATACCCATCGGTAACTGTAGCATTACTCTATATAATATCAATAATGTTATGCTTACTCACGAACTTACTAACCATCATACTAACTTTTGTAAATATAAAGCATAGTACTGGTACCATATGTAATTTTAACAAAGGTGAATAAAGTGATTAGTAAGTTTGTGAGTAAGCATAGCATTATTCATATAATATATATATATATTAAAAATTTGGGGAAGAAAATTAAAAATTCAGTTATATTTACACACACACACACACACACACATATATATGTGTGTGTCAATTTACGCAGACCTCGATTAATTTTCAGGAGAGACTAGCGTAACAATCCACTGTCACGACACTTAAATCACAGATGTTCAAATGAAAAATCGAACATGAGGCCGTGTGTCTATCTGCACTATGAGGGTGTTTGTCTAAGCTTATAAGCTGGTCAAACTTGCTTATAAGCTGACTTGTTTGTTTATAATTTTTTTGAGCTTATAAGCTAAAAAAATAAGTTGGGGAGAGGTACTTTTTTTTTTTTTTGGCTTATAAGCACTTTGCTTATAAGCTAGTTTGACCAAGTATATTACCACATTATCCTTGTTTAATTTTAAAATTTCATAGTATGTCATTGTTTAATGTAGTACCTTTTTTAGTAATTTTATAATAAAATGTACTTAAAAGCCACATTTTACCAAACGCGTCAATTACTTATCAGTCACTTATAAGTACTTTAACCAAACACGTAATTGCTTAAAATTTCAAATGCTTATAAGTTAGTTTTAGCTTATAAGCAATTGTTGCTTATAAGCTAATTTTCATAAGCTCAGACAAACATCCCCTATCTCCAACATATCCTAACCATTCAAGCTACCCACGAATCAAAGATAATAAATATTTATCTTTTAGTATAAATAGTTACTAGATGGACGTATTTGGCACACGACATAACATAGCATTAAATATATTGCATAGCACTAAATAACAAACACTGCATTGTATTAAACAATGTCAAAGTTTAAAATAATGTAATGATTCTACATTAACTAATGCCTACTCAACTAATGCAATGTTACTTAGCTTTAATTTTAGACAAATAAAAAATGCTAATTAATTTAATATTCAGGAAATTTAAATATGCCGTGGTTGGCCCAACTACAATCAATGTCGATCAATAATATTCACTACCATTCAATGTCGATCAATAACAGTCACTACCATTGACCGATGTTTACCACTATTTGAACGACATTATTGGAAAAACCCGCTGCCTTAAGAAAAATTGGAAAAACCTCGTATACACTGGTTGATGGAAACAAAGAAAGAAAATTGGAAAAACCCGCTACCTTGAGAAAAATTTCTTCTTTCTAGTTTGTAGTTAAACTTTCCGCAGATTTTAAAACTAATTATTTTCCATAATTCCTGGTTTCTTCAAAGAATCAAAGTTTGAACTATGTCTATCATTGGAGAGGCTATTCTTAGTGCCTCCGTGGAGATGCTTTTCAAGAAGTTGACGTCAGCTGAACTGCTGCAGTTTGCACACCAAGAGGAAATCCTAGCTGATCTCAAGAAGTGGGAGAGAAATTTAATGAAGATTCAAACAGTTCCTAGCGATGCAGAGGAGAAGCAGAGAACCAAGGAGCCTGTGAAGATCTGGCTAGCTGAACTTCGGAACTTGGCGTGCGACGTGGAAGACATTCTGGATGAATTTGCAACCGAAGCTTTGCGAAGGAAATTGTCGCTTGAACGTGAAGCTGACGCCAGCACAAGTATGGTATGCAGATTCATCCCTACTTGCTGTACTAAATTCAGTCCAAAATCCCTCAAGTTCAATTCCATGATGATGTCCAAGATAAGGAGATCACTGTCAGATTGCAAGATATCGCAACGGAGAAAACAACCTTCATTTGAAAGAGAATTCAGGGGAGAGGTATGGCAAATTCAGAGATAAATTACCTACAACCTCTTGGTGAATGAAGCTACCATATTTGGAAGGGAAAAAGATAAGGAAACCATAATGGAATGGTTGTTTAGAGATGAAGGTATGGGTATTGTAGGAATGGGAGGAATGGGGAAGAATACTTTGGCTCAACTCGTCTACAATGATGCCAGAGTAAAAGGTCATTTTGATCTTAAATTCTGGGCTTGTGTTTCTGATGATTTTAATGTTATCAGAGTAACAAAAAGTATTCTACAATCTTGTTCTAATGAGACTTCTACAGATATTAGTGATCTAAATTTGCTTCAAGTTAAATTGAAGGGGACAGTATCAGGAAAGAAGTTTTTGCTTGTTTTGGATGATATGGGATCTGCCTGAAGAGAGGAGTAGCATTTTACCTGCTCTTAGATTAAGCTACCAATATCTTGCTCCACATTTGAAACAATGTTTTGCATATTGCTCAATATTTCCAAAAGATTATGCTTTTGAGAAAAAGGAGATAATTTTGTTGTGGATGGCTGAGGGTTTCTTACACCGAGAAATCAATGGGAAGCAAATGGAAGATTTAGGTCACAAAAGTTTTCAAGATCTACAATTAAGGTCATTTTTTCAACATTCAAATAGAGAGATTACTCGATTTGAGATGCATGATCTTATGAAGGGCTGCAGGAGAACTATTCTTTAGAATAGAGGATATGTCAGATGCTGTTAAGCAGCGAAAATATTTCAAAAACATTCG